AAAAAAAAAAAAAAAAAAAATCCACAAAAAAACAACAAAAAAACAAACTAACAAACAAAAAAACAAACAAAAAAACCAAGCAAGAACAAGCAGATAAGCAGACAAACAAGCGAGTGAACAAAAAAATAAACAAACACATGAAAAGGAAATGCCAGGAAAGAGACAACAGTGAAAAAATTCTTAAAAAAAAAGAAAAATAAAAAAGGAAAAAAAAGAAAAACTTTAAAACTGAGAGAGATTTAAAAATAGAAATAAATTTAAAAGAAAATGCATGATTTCCCATGTACCATTATTTTAACATTTAATAAAAACAGACTTTAAAAAAAATAAAAGGGAACCAATAAATAACAAATGACAATAAATCAAGTGGGAGGAGGAAGAGGAGGCAGCTCTTTGGATTTTAGGGGGTTTTAATTTTTACTTTACAGTTTGTTTCCCAATTACCTTTAAGCCAGCATGGGCTCCTTGGGAGACAGGGGATGGTGGCTTGGCCAACAGTGGCTTCGGTGTCCTCGGGCTGGTTATGGAGGATCCTGGGGCTCTGGGGTCAACCACGACCCTCTCTGTTCCCCCAGGATCCATGGGGATCTGCTCTTCCCCAGGGGTCCACAGAGGTTAAGAGAGACTGCTGTTCCTAGGGAGTGCAGGAGCCAATGCTGAGTCACCCCTCTACAGTGTCCCCAGGGGGGTCCCCGCTTCCCCAGTCCTGGGGACCCTGGGGTTAACAGTGACAGTGCAAAAAGCAAACACATACAGTAAATTAAGACACACACAGAGACAAAAAAAAAAGACAAAAATGTTTCTTAAAAAAAAAAGTGGCAATTTTTTTAATAAAACAACAGCTATAAATAAATGTAAATATAATAAGTGGATTTACTTGCAAGAAAAAGATATAGTATTTTTTTCTTTTCATTTTTGTTTTCTCCAGCTTTAAACTGTGAAAAAGAAAAGGAAAAGATAGCTGTGAGCAGGGTGGGAGGTGCAGGCAGAGGGCAGGGGGCTGGTGGAGGGAACCGGGGCTCCCATCCCTTCAGGGTGCTGCATGTTGGGGGGGATATGGGACACCAAAGCCGATGGCAGCGTGCTGATGGGGGGGGGACAGAACCCACACACGCGTGCCTAGGTGCATGCACGCTCCCCTGTGAATGCTCCAGAGGCTCCCTGGGGTGGCTGCACCCCCCCCAAATCTGCCCAGACCCCCCTTGGGTCCTGCCAGTGGGGCTGCAGCCATGCAGGGGCACAGCAAGGTCCACTCAGACACCCCCTGAAATTGCTCACGTCCCTGCCCGGGCACAGCCAGCCCACCCTGACCCAAAACTGGTTGCTGGCTGCTTGACCTAAACACGTGTAAACCCCCAGCCCCCATCCCAGGGGCCTGAGCCCCCCCAGGTCCCAGCGGCCATGCCAGGGAGAGGTACGAGCCCACCAGGCATCTCCATGCCTGTTGGGTTTTGTCCTTGTTCACCCCTTCTGCTCTGGTCTCATCCACAGTGGCAAGGCGAGCTGGGCCACCACCATCCCGTCCCAGGACCCCTGGCCTGGCTGCAGCCCCCTCCCTCCTCGCCAGGCACCGAGAGTGCCAGGAACCGATTTTCATCCAGCTGGCCCTAGGATGGCAGCTGCGGGAGGGGAGGCGGCGGCAGGG